TTTCTCTCACACAGCAGCTCGGGGGGGGGGGGCAGCCTTAGATGTTCTGTACCATCAAGGGCTGGTGATGCTATCTGATGGATCTTATCAGTTAAGGATTTGTAACTACAGGTCGCTGAAATCCCAAGTAAAGGATGACTTGTTTTCTTACGTAACCACAAATCCTGAGGTTGGGCAGGCCTAAGGTCGGTTATTTCAGCAGCTCAGTGACATCACCAAATACCCAGGTTCCTTCCATATTTCACTTCGGCCATCTTCAGTGTGTGGGTTGGCTCTCCTCGTGGTGTCAAGATGGTTGCAGCCACTCCAGGCAGCACATCTTGATTCCCTGACATTCAGAGGCAGCAAATGAGAGCTATATGGTGTCTGTATCTAATTTTAAAACATGAGGGGAAATTTCCAAAGCCCATCCACTTACTCCTCTCCAAGAAGGCTTTCCCTCCAGTCTCATCCATCAGAACTGTGGCACGCGATCCTTCCTAAGCAAACCACTGGCCAGGATTTATGCATTCTGAATCCACAGTTCAGACCAATCTCCCTTTAAACTGCGTTCAGGGTCACTCTCCCTGAGCACATAGCCATGAGGCAGAGGGTGTCCCCGAGTAAAATTGAGGCTCTGCCAGCAAGAAAGAGGACAGATGCATGGATGTGTGTGGGTTACCTACTGTGTCTGCTTCAGAAGCCTTCATCTTAAATTAGAATCTTCAACCCCTGATCTCATCATCCCAACTTTTTAAACAAATGCAAGAAGGGCAGAATTATGGCTTAGAGTGAATTTCAGGAGGAAGTGGTCTTTTTTAATACCTCTGCAGGAAATTCCTAATACTATGGGAGTAAGCTGATTCCAAGGCAGATCACATCTGTTTAGGTTTAGGTTCCTGGGGGTCCACACTAGGATTCGCATTTGTCCCCAGATTTCTAGTCAGTTGAGGTATCTCTTGGGAAGACCCCCATGGAAGGGACCAGAGGGCTGAGACACCCAAGAGAAGCTCAAGGACAAAGCTTCATGATAAGGGGCTTCTGAGATGGCCCAGGACCAGCCACTCAGATTGTCCCCAGGCTCTCAAACCTCTGAGTCCCTTACATGTGGGAGGAGAACTAAGGAAGCCTGCACTGAAATGTCTGTTGCACTCTGAGAACGGAACAACACAAGTAGGGTCAGCAGTCTTGGGGGCCAGCCGTTCTGGCCACCATGCTGATCCTAGCTTCCAGAAGGTCTATGAAACAGACACCTCCATGAGAGGAGAAAGTGGAGGAGGGGGTGGGCGTTAACACAGTGAGCACCCCCAGGGGAATTCAGAAAGAGCTGGAGAAGGATACTGATGGAGGACCGGAGGTCCCCAAATTACGTGCACCCTGACAGCCATGGATTCTTATTCCTAGTTTTGCTCCAAGGCTGGTGTGGCATGGGCAGAGTGGCCATGGTTGGATTAATGATTTCTCTTTGGTGATACAACTGAAGGATGGTTCACATCAGAGTCAACACCTCACCTGACAGTTCAGCCCTGACTCACCGGCTATATCAGCCCTCCGAGGACAAGAACGCAGTGTAAGTCTTTCTGGCATCCAAGAGTGAAGTGTCCCCAGTACAGTGGATGTCATAGTTTTGTTTGTGATACTGTTTTTAACAGAGTTTTTCACAGGATGAATGTGGCATCCCAGCACACTTCAAACTATATAGCAAGGCAAAACATCACCTCTGTAAAAATGGGTCCAAACATACATTTATGAAACATGCTATTGAAATTACTTCTTACCTTGATGACCTTTAAATTAGGCACTGAAATTATTTTAGCTTTTATGAGACCTGGGCGCTGAAATTCATTGCACAGGGGGTTAGCGTTTCCGGAAATGTCAATAATGGGGAGAAGCCACCAGAAGAATGAGATTTGCTGCCAACGACAGGCGTAAGGAGGCTCAGTCTCCCTAAGAGTCACTTCGTGGAAACTTCCACTAGCGGCTCTGTGTCCAGAATCTCCCAGGGACAGATGATTTCCTCCTCGAAGCCTCCTTTGTTTGGCTCTGTGAAGTGGACGTTTTCTTATCAGGGAAAATGAAGAGGAAGCCGGTGCCGTGGGCTTGTCCACAACAGAACAGCCCTGAGAGCCAGGGCGGCCGTGCGGAGGGAAGGGGGCCTGTCCGGGCTCGACACGCAACCGTTACAAGTGTCTGGACTTGCCTTGCAGGTTGGCCAGTCCTTTCTATGAGCTCATTTTATCTTTAGAATCACCCGGAGGGGTAGGCAGGGCAGGAATTCTCAGCCGCATGGTGTAGTTAAGGGATTTAGGTGGAAGAAGTGAGAGGACTCAGATCCCAGTGTGGGAACACTGACACCCCCCCCCCCGCCCCAGTGTCTGTCCCGAGGTCTGTCAGAGCCCCTGCATAGAGCAGGGAGCCACTGACCCCAACGCAGTTTCTTGAATGGAAAACCAGAAGGAAAATTCTTCAAGGATGGAACCTGGTACAGGATGGTGTTCTCCTTAATACTGGACTGTGTTCTCTGTGAAGGGAAGGCGAAGCTCTGAGCTTGGGGCCGAGGCTCTCAGTGCCTGAGTTCTCAGGTAGGGAATGGAAAAAGGTGGCCTCCTGGTCAGGACGGTGCAGGCGGCTGGGGCTGCGGGCCGGTGACACCAGCCTCCACCCTTTTCTCCCTGGTTCCGGGGTCCCAGATCCCTTCCCCGCGAGGCTCTGTGAGCAGCAGTGGGGGCGGGGGAGGGGCTCAGCCTCCGAGTCTCACGCACCTGAGGGGGCGGGGCTTCAGCCTGCGCTTCACCCTAAACAGCCCCTGACCTCAGAGGAGGGGATCCCATCTTCTCTCACCTCATCTTCCTCATGGACAAGTGCAGATACGATTGATTGATTAATTTATTTGATGAATTGATCTCCTGGGGCTCTTGCGAGGAAAAAAGATCAAGCAGACCAAACACCGAGCCCGGTGATGGCACCCAGCGCAAATTCAGAGGTTCGCCATGGCTCGTACCAGGACCAGCAGGAAAAGAAACAGAGCTGCGCTCAACATGACCATGTGAGAGCAATTTTAATTAGTAAATGCGAAGGAAGAGATGCTCGGTTTCTCAAATCCGTGCTACAGGTACGACTTCAACCACGATTTGCTTTGGTTACCTCTTCCGCGCTGTGCTGTGCTGGCACCGTGCACTCACAGGGAGACTGGCTTTAGGAGAAGTTAATGCCCACAGCGGGAAGGTCAGACCATTCAAAGAAAAGCTCACAGCACGTTCTGAAAATTTAGGTGCGATTCAACCACAGAGCTCTGCCATTCTCACCTCTAATCTGGCAGTTTCTTTTCAGCGACAGGAGCAACCCCCATGGCAAGTTCAGAATTCTGCAAAACCAGTGCATGAAGTGCTCCAGTGTCTTGTGCAAATTCTGTTTTAAGAAGGGTTCAGTCGAGCCAGGGAAAACTCGAAGGAGAAGGCTGTTTTTAGGAGGAGTGAGCCTGGATTAGGCATAAGTTTGAGTGGAGAATAGAGATGCTTTCCTATCAGCTGAGATAGTGAGTTTGCCTTCTGGCAGGTCCAGGCCAAACGGTGGGCATCAGATGGGCACACAGACAGGGAGGAGGAAGGGCAAAGGTAAGCTGGACAGGCTGAGAGCTGGGAAATCAAAGGGAATCAGATTCTGGGGAGTTCTTGATTTTTTTTTTATTATTATTTCAGGCCTTTTATCTTCTGCTTTTTGCACATAATTTAGCCTTCCTTACTGCCACACAAATGACATCAAAACAGCCTACAGTGTTGGTACAGAACTGTCCGAAGGGCACAGACTGGAGACAAAGGTAAAGTTAATGCACAAAAGAAGTAACATGAGATGCCTACCATCTGACAAGTGAAGAATCAAAACTTGGGGGGGAAAAGAAGACAGTTGCATTGGACTAAAATTAGCCTCCGCAGCTGTTAGAGGTCAGAGGATTCGTGGTTCCTTTCCTGGAAAACATAAAATGAACAATGTCACCCAGGTATCAAGTATCACCTGGCTCCTTGGGAATTCATCCCTTCAATCAATGTTAAATGAAGGTTGCACCAAAAAAAGGGAGCAGGTCAATTTTTGCTTCTTTTGATTGCTAATATTTTTACTCCTAGAAGCGTTTTTCAGGTTTCTCTGTTTAGAAAAGGCATCTGGGCCCCTTTGATGCTATTTGGCTCTGAAACTTTAGCTCCTGTTGCAAAGTGTAATGGTCAAGTCAAGCCTTACTCAGGCACTTGTGCGATGCGCTATGGTGTTTATTCCTCCCACCCACCATGATGAGCCCATTTTACAGATGAGGAAACTGAGGCACAGAGGCTAAGGCACTTTGGCAAAATCACGGGGCCTTGAGTCAGAATTTGCAACAGGATCTTTTGTGGCTAATATCCTCCAAGGACCTCTGTGAGATATGCTTTGAACCTGTCAGAGGGTCTACTGATTCTGGCCCAATCATTTTTCTCTTTAGAAAGTGGACCTTTTCCCACTGGTGTGTACAGAGCACGAGGGTCTCACCACACCTACTGTTTAAGAAGATTCAAGTCTTGGAGCCCTTCTCGTGGGTTCAAGAGTGACGGACTCAGCCCAGATCCGAGCAGAGAGCAACCAAGGTGCTGGGCAGTGTGGTGACCTCTATGTTGTCACAATAGCATGTGGATATTTTCAGTTTTACATAATCAGATAATATATCTGAAGCGATTACCAATCATGACCTTTTTTTAATAACTGAGAGGCTGGGGACCAACCGGTCATTGAGGTCATTTTCCTAAAGGATTTGTGAGGACCACTGACAGGACAGGGACAGGTACAAGTGGAGACACACAGACTCCTGTATCCGAGCCTCTAAATCCTCCACGCAGGCAGAGCTAGGCCCTTAAACCAAAAAACCACAGATGGCTAATCCAGCCCGGACCCCGTCAGGACAGCAAGACGCCCTCCGTCCCTCCACGCAGCAGGAGAGGCCTAGAAACAAACATCAGCAACTTGAAAAACCATCCACAGACCATTTCCCCAAACGATTGATTGTATAAATAATTTATTTCTGTTCACAGCATCGTATATGCATATAAAAGGGAACGGGAACAGAAGAGGAGGATGATCAGGACAGAATTACAGCAGTAGAAACGCAAACAAACCAGAAGACATAGTCCCAATACCAAGACAGAGAATCTGCGAAGAGAACTGTTCTGAAACAAAACTGGCCTCCCTGTGTCTATTCGGGAGCATTTCAAAAGCTCGTGGGGGAGGCCAGCTTCCCCTGCGGGGAACCCATTCATTCTCCCAAGTACAGGAGGCATAATAAATCACTGACAGTGAGGTCGGACCCCTCCCCGGGTGACCACTCCAAGGTGGTTCGGTCTGTGCTTCCTCGGCGGCGTGGTCCGAGACAACATGGGCTATTATTAGTCAAACACTACAGGAATCAACCGAGACTCTTTAACTATTGGTTGATACACCACAGGGCTTTACTGCACAATTACTGACAGTTGACTGCACCCTTAAGTATTGAGAATGCAAAAAACAAACTCATTTCGCATCACCTGTAAAGCAAGACGGGATGTGAACAGTGATCTTGAACCTAAGTCTGGGTAACACGAGAAGGTTACAGTATTTGGCATCTGCAATGTCACAAAATAAATATATTATCTCTCAAGAGTGTGGAACTACCAAAATGTCAAAGTGCTTAAGAAATTGTTGCATGTGAAGAAAATAAAGAAAGATGGATTTTTTTTTAATAATTCTATACAGAATCTTCAGATGATGGGGCCAGCCCATTCAGAAACCAGTGACTATGCTGTCGGTACGTAAACTGAAATCTTGCAGGCTTGTCAACGCTGCTTAGCTAGTTTCTCTACTGAGTTTCTACAAAAAGACCAGCATCAGAGGGGTACCAAACACATCAACAAAAGAGAGAAGGAAGCTGGGCTGCTAGGTTTCTCCTTTTCAAATATTTCATAGAATTGGGTTTCAAGCAGGAAGCCAGGACACCTACCTCTGGTTCTTAACTTTCTGAGTGCAACGGACCATAGGCATGGATTTATAATTTGACTAACCCACATACTCACGTATGATCATGTCCATTTTCTAAAGGCCTCCTTCACAAAGAAATTTAAAACAGTGGTGGGAAGGGGAGAGGAAACTTATTCTATCTGTAAACATGGCTTCAAAGAAGAAACAAAAATCAAACAGTAAGTTTAAACTTCCCTTTTGATACTGTGTTTCGGGGTAAATGACAGCTTCTGCAAACCAAGACTCAGTCCTGATTATAAAGGATTTTTTAAATTACATTATTAAAAATATGTATTTCTTCTTCTTTTGCTTTATCTTATTTCCAAAGCCTCTTTCAAGTAAACTGTGAGGAGCCTGAGAACAGGTGACCATTACGTCACACGCTCTTTATCTCAGGCACTCACTGTGTCCGCATTTGCTCTCTGGCCAGTTCCCGTAAGAATGAATCAGGAAGGACCTCCTTGTGCTTTTCCCTCGCCTTTAAATCCATGCAATGAGGTCGGCTTTTGCAACACGGTGGGCTTTTATTTTTTTGGTGCGTGACATCAAATACTCCAATGAGACGTCTGTCATGAGAATACTTAAAGCAGATAGGCCACCATGAACCAAATTAGAATTTGACATGTCGCCACTTGCAGTGTAAAGGGATCTAAAAGGGCAGAGCCAAGTCTTTTTTCCTAAATCAGGTATTTCTAAGGTGAGTATTCATTCGTAGCAGATTAAAAAAAGAAAGAAAGAAAACATGTCTGAAAAGCAAAACCCATCATCAAGCGGTCCTGCAAGAGACATCCCGTGCAAAAACCAGCTTGTAATTCAGCACACATCTGCCGCTGGTGTGCTGCCACAGACCAATCAGTAAGGCTGGCTAAGAGAATTCAAGATTCCACACATATGGGTCTAGGAATGTATGCCGATTAGGCAGCAGAGGGAGGTCCCCACATCTACACACTCACACCCCATCCAGCAATGACGTCAAGAGCCTTACCCTTTAAACACCTTTACCTATCCTGCAAACAGTAAATGCATCATTGGCCACCACCTCCAACAGTTTTTTTTTTAATTTTTATTGGTCTCTTTGTGTGATAATGACCTACACATGGACAGGGTCCAAACCATCTGGAAGATGTCTGATTCCAGGCTGAAAAGCAGTTCTCCACAAAACTGGTCTTCCGTTGCTACCACAAAGCACCATGAAAGGGGCATCTTCGAGGCCATTCCCCCGCCGCTGAGGCCAGCGCAGTGCCCCGTGCCTTCAGGCTGCCTGCCAGCTGTATTGTTCCAGGCAGCCCTCTTATGGCCCAAACCACCAGCTCATTTGGGCCCAGAGCAGGACAAATGAATTTTCACAGGGGCCTGCCCTGTGACATAAAATTATCCAGCTTTCACAGCCCATGAATGCAAGGGGAGGCTGTCCCCCCAGCACCTCCCATTGTCATCATGCCCCCAGATGGGGACTCCTGGGGATCTGGGAACTGCATACCTCAGGTAACTCACAGGTGCGATCCCCAGTGAGGGCGGGGTAGCCTGAACTTCTGGCCCTGCTGGAGAAGGAAGAAATCGCTTTTGTCTCTGACATCTGAGCCTTCCACCTGGGCGGGGATGGCCAACGGCAGGACCTGCACGTCCACTCCCCAGCGGGCCCCCCATCCCATTAGTAGCTCTGGCGCGTTCAGACAAAAGGTCCCCTGAGCTTGGGGTGGGGGCAGGTTGAGCGCGGGGTGGCAAGTCTGCCTACATACCCAGGCTGAGTCACTAGTCCTGCATTTGGCTGCAGATTCCGCTTTAAAAATTCGAAGCATCGCTTTGGTTCGCTGTCTTTGTTCGCGGGCGCGGGTTCTCGCTCATCCATCCAGCCTTTCATTCATTCATTCCCGACTCGCTCGCTCGCTCCCCCCTCGCTCCAGAACGCTGCCCAGCGCATTACCGCTTCTTCTTCTGCTTGAGGGACTTCCTGCGTTTCAGGATCATTTCATAGAGCTTGTCCATGCCCTCGGTGAGGCCTTCGCCGATGATGGCGCACGCCGGCTGGACGTGGTAGGTGGTGGCTGGGATGAGCTCGTGCAGCGCCAGCTGCTTCTCGATCTCGGCCACTGGCAGAGACTTGGGCAGATCCTGCTTGTTGGCGATGACCAGCAGCGGCGTGCCCTGGTTCTCGGCGAATTTAGTCACCTTGTGCAGCTCCGTCTTGGCCTCCTCCAGCCGGTCCACGTCCACCGAGTCCACCACGTAGATGATGCCGTCCGTGCAGCGGCTGTAGGACTTCCACAGCGGCCGCAGCTTCTCCTGGCCGCCCACGTCCCAGAAGTGGCAGCTGATGCCCTTGGCTGTGCCGTTGCTCAGCTTGATCTTCTCCGTGTTGAAGCCGATGGTGGGCACCGTGTTCACGAATTCGTTGAACTTGAGCCGGTAGAGCACCGTGGTCTTGCCGGCCGAGTCCAAGCCCAGCATGACGATGTGCAGGGACTGGAAGGCCGAGATGTTGGAGGAGATGTTGCCCATGGCTCCTCGCTG